CCTTTTTCTCTTCTCTTTTTCTTATTCTCTTTCTTTCTCTTCATCTCTCTTCCTTTCTCTTTGGTTCTCTTTCCCTCTTTCTCTTCTTTCTCTCATTGTCTCTTCATGTCTGTTCCTCTCTTGCCCTCTCTCAACCTCTCTCTCCTACCCTCTCACATTATCTTTCTTTTCATTTCTCTTCTTCTCTCTTTCCTTCTGTTTTTTCATGACTTTCTCTCTTCTCTCTTTCTCATTATCTTTCTTTCTGTCTCTCTTTCTCATTATCTTTCTCTCCATCTCTCTTCCTCTCTTCTTTCCATCTCTCTTCCTCTCTTCTTCTCCTTCCATCTCTCTTTCACTCATTTCACTCTCCCTCTCTCTTTCCCTCTCTTTCTCTCTGTCTCTTTTTTCTCACCTCTCTCTCACACACACCTCTCTTCCTCTCTTTCACCCATTTTCACCCCTCCACTCTAATTCTACCTCCAGAGCAGTGTAGCTGTGCAGTGTTGGGCAGTGTGGCTGATGGACACAGGACTGAGTAGACGTGCTTCTTCTTCAGTTCTGAATGGCCTGTTCCTCTTCTGTCCTCTGAATGCTAAATAATAGGGGATTAAATACACTGATGCTTTATGAAGGTGGTGATTCGACTGCAGGACCGGGATTAAAAACCCTGTCCTAAAGTTTAATAATGAAATCAAAACATCAGAATCAGCGTTTGGCCCAGACTAAATCACAATGCACTGAGCTGGTAAAGACATCATTAGAGCTTAACAGACATGGTGGCACGTGTTTCACCGCATGCTAATAGTCATCCATTAGGCTGACATTGCTTTTTCGTTAGCGTAGTGTTTTATGCAGGGACGTGCAGAATGAACAAGGTAAATTAAATTTACTTCATTTGAATTTGTACATCATTTACACACAGATAATAGATATTAAATGAAGATAATTACTGTCATCAGTATGTGAACTGAAATGTGGACTGGGTGTTATTGATTTAGGTAAATTTAGTGCATGACTGCGCACACATACATGCATAAGTTAGATATTAATATGATAAATATAATTGCATGCAGACTTTGTTTACTTAGGAACTACAGAGGCCATGAAGTAGTTATAATTTTCTGTATTGTTATCTTGACATAACAAGATACATAACTCGTTATTTCAAGATAACAAAATTGTTGTCTTGAAATAACGAGTTAGTTATCTTGTTATTTTGAGAGAACAAAAGTTGTTATCTTGAGATAACGAGTTACCTATCTTGTTATCTCAAGATAACCATCCAGAAAATTATAGCAACAGCTCATGGCCTTTCTGGTCTTCTGTAGTTTACACAGTTTAATGTTTGGATTGCTGTATTTAAGCTATAGCCTACCGACCACAATTGAGCCCCTGAATCAGAGTAAGGATAACCTGCGACTGAATTATGATTCCTGTACATGTGTTTTCTTCACTGCAGTAGTTTGTAAAACAAATTCAATAAAAATCCCCAAATTTTGGCTTTGTTAGATCACTTTCTGTACATATCATAGAAATGCAACAACAGCATTGCCTTATTAACAGAATAGATTCAATGAAATAGCAGAAATAGACACTTTTTGCATCAGCATCAGGGGTGGATACATACTGAAAGAGTGCTTGAGCACCGACACGTGTACAAATTCAGACTCGTAACTGAATTGGATCACTATGAGATCAGATTTACACCATTACTAAATAATAAGTGCCTCTGGCTGCTTAGCCTCTTTTCTAGAAGTAGAATGTACTTGATTTTTCATTATTGTTTCTGTTGCTGCAGTGCATTACTCTCACTATTTTTGAGGTCTGACCTAAACGGCCAGTCATTTCCTCTTTTTAAACAGCCTCCACTCTCGCCTAATGCCGTGAACACATTCTTAGTTATTTAGCATGAAAGTATGACCAGTCTTTTCTAGCAAAGCGTTTTTGTCCAAGGCCGATCTTGATATGGCTTCATATGGCCAAGGTCCAAGAGATTCCACAGAAGCAGCAGGCATATACATGCATAACCACATGCACATTGCTACATCTTCATAGAAGCAGCAGGCACAGACAGGAGTTTGTATTCAGAACCACGTCTCATGTTCCATTTTGATGTTTCTCCTGGCTGTAAAGACATTCATGACTGTGTGCTTGTGTATATGATGCTAATGTCTGAAGCGTTAGCATCTAACCTCTGCATAAATACCAAAGGCAAACTTTGTGGTGAGGTAATTGCTTCCGAGCTTTAATGGTATAGACATAGATATATATCTGCTTTGCCTGCTTTTCATAGCAACATCTGAGCAACATCGCTTGCTTCCTTCTTTATCGAAGAGTGACACCTGTACAAGCTCTACATAAAGCCTAAAACACTCTCTGATTGCATGTCACAATCCTTCTGCTTCATTTCCTTCAGGGTCTGTAGAACAATTAAGCAATATGGCATCTAAAGGAATATGACAGACTGTTTTGGTTGCTGTGCATTTAAGACTGATATATGTGACTGAGCTCTGTTCTGATTGGCTGCTCTGTGTTGTACCTCATTCAGAACGCAATCCGGGTTAAAACACTCATTATAATTTCAGTGTGAATAGGCGGAGCCAAACTGCTATACGTTCAGTAGGTGTATTAATGTAAATATGTTGGTTTTCGAAAAATTGCAGAAAAACGTGAATTTAAAACTGCTTTTACGGTTTAGTTTCCATAAATGGATTGTATGGATTGTATGGACTGCGGAGGAAACAGTTTTAAAACTTTAACAGTATTTACCCACTACATCAACTCTTTTATTAATAATAAATAAAATTACTATTTATTATTTGAATTCAGAAATTTAGTTTTTCATATAATGGGCCCTTTAAAGATAAATAGACAAATGCTAAGCATCTGTTCACCACAGCTAACGTTACCAGCCTAGTCACATTTTCATACATTTTAGCTGATACGTTCCCTCAATGGTGATGTTTTATCCCATTAAATCTGTACGAGTACAGAACTTGAGCTTGTTGTTTATCGGTGCTTCTCTGTGAGGCTTCCAGTGTGCTGTAGCTGCGCTTTGTTATCTCAAGATTCAGCCGGCTGAAGTAGTCTTTCTATGTGGAGTGTAACAAAGAAAATTTATTTGATTGATACGATACAGTGGTGTTTCAGTTTGATCCATTTTCCAATACAGCAAAAATAAGGAGTGGCTGAAAATGTGGCTAATATGTCAGTGTTTCTATCTTTAGTACATGTTCAACATTGTAAAAGCACAATATTTAAAACTAAAACTGTGCTTTGTACTGTGCCAATCCAATACTCAAGCCACAAGCTAACGTGCTAGTAATGAGACAACAATACAAAAGTCTGCAATACAATTTGATACAATACAATACATTGTATTGTTACAGCCCTACTTTCTATGCTTCTTTGGACTAAATAGATAAGAAACTGACCACAAGCAAGAAAAGTTTCTACACTTGCCTCTAGTGGTGTGTTGACATCTCTTAGTTTTTAGGTATGAAAATATGTAAAAAGAAAGAGACACTTTTTTTGGCCAAAATGTTCGTTTACTTTTTGATTTTAAAAATTTCATGGCTTTTTGAAAATTCAAAATTCTGACTCGTTCCTACTAAGTATCGTGATACATATTGCATCTTTTGATATTTTCAAGTATTTAAGATATTATTGCAGTATCACCCACCCTTAGTTTATTGGGAAGAAGCAAAAGCCAAAGTATGACTGGAGGATGACTAGGTAACCAGGTAACCAATCCACTGCAGCGTCAATGGCCTGCATGCTTATTTATAAGATGGGTTTAGTGTGTATTAATGATGTGTTCCCTTGTGTCAGTGTTTGCTCCTTAAATAATGATGTAACATGAGGAAACTGTTATTAGACAGCTCGGTTAGATTCTTGTGGTTATGCCACAACATGCTGGATTCACTTTATAATCCACCTCATCATTGGCTCGGCAAGCAGGACATCTTGTTTATTTGCATAATTCATGGTGTGTGTATGTGTGCGCATATGCAATTGTGGCTCGTGACGTGTGCTCCACCAACTGGTAATGCCTGACCACACCTCACCTAGGGTGAAACCACTCACACTCGCATTATTCTGTCTCTTGCTATCTATCTCTCTTTTCTTTTCACTCTCCCTCCTGATATCCCCAGGCCTGATATCTCATGCACAGCATGTTTTTATACCTATTGCCTAGCCACGCTTTTGAAAATATCTCTCAGGATTTCCCTGTACGTCCCAGAACATGTACTGATATATATGTTCATGTGAATTCTGGACCATTGGTGTACTAATGTGAATGTAAATTCTGAGACAGGCTGTGGACTGTAGTTGTAGAGGAAGAAAAAGAATGTAATATATTTTATCATAATATAATTTATCTTAAGTCTATTATAGCAAATAGTCTTTATTTTGCTTCTCTGAGATCAGTAAGCAAGAAAAATACCTGGGAGGTATCTAATGTCAATATACTATTTCTTTTAATGAGCTCAGTTCTGTAACATGCAAGGACACTTATTTCAAGCAACCAAGTGGAATTAACTATCCTATCCTGCTGGTAAATAATTTACTTCCTCCTGGCGTTCATTTCTTAAATGTCGCATTCTTAAATGTCATGTGTTTTTCTTTTTTGAGTGGCTTTGGTCCACCTGTGGTTTTGAAATGGCAGCAAGTATTTAAGCTTATGATGTACAGTCTTAATTGAGACTGGGTCAGGCAGGTTGAGTAAATTGATTTAGTGGTCACTTTAAAGTTGAGTGTTCTGTGTTTTCAAGCTAATAGTCTGTCACAAGCATCCACTTTCCCTGACTGCTGTTTCGCAGCTTTTCCTTGTTTGAAATGTGCTGTCATGCGCAGTGCTTGTGTCTTTTGTAACACTGGAACACTTTCCTTGTTCATCTAGTATTTCTATTTTATCTGCACTATTATGTAGATATCCTTATGTAATGAATGTAATTTAAGGTATGTTTTCATCTGTACCAGTTATACTGACCTTACTTGTCTTGCTCTCTCTGCAGAACAGTTCCAAGCAACGGCAGGTGAGGAAGAAGACGGTCTCATTCAGTTCTATGCCGAGTGACCGCAAGATGAACAGCACTGCTGCCTGCATGGCCTTCATGTTGGAGGGATGCGAGATGAAGAAAGTTCGCTCCAATTCCCGCATGTACAACCGATACTTCCTGCTGGACCCAGACCTGCGCTGGCTCCGCTGGGAGCCATCAAAAAAGGACTCCGAAAAGGCGAAACTGGAGATCAAGAGCATTAAAGAAGTGCGACTGGGGAAGAAGACCCCTGTCCTACGCAGCAACGGTCTCTCTGATCAATTTCCAGATGAGTGTGCTTTCTCAATCATTTATGGAGACAATTATGAGTCTCTGGATTTAGTGGCAAGCACAGCAGATGTGGTCAGCACCTGGGTAATGGGACTACGCTATTTGGTGTCGTATGGGCGACACACAGTTGGTGTGGTTGAACCCAGCCAGTCGAGCGTAAGAACGTCCTGGATTGGCTCTGTGTTTGAGCTGGCTGACATCGAGAGGCAGGGACACATAGACCTGTTCCGTGCCACGCAAATTATCAAGGGACTTAATCCAGGCATGAGGGAGTCCCGCATTGAGTTGAAATTCAAAGAACTTCAGAAGGCCAAAGATTGCTATGGCGAGGGCATCGACTTAGACACGTTTGTAGAGGTGTACTGTGAATTGTGCACAAGGCCTGAAATCTTTTTCCTCCTGGTGCAGTTTTCTAGCAACAAGGAGTACCTGGATTCAAAGGACTTGATGCTGTTTGTGGAAGTTGAGCAGGGAGTGGAGGGCGTGACGGAGGAGATGTGCCGTGAAATTGTGCACAAGTATGAGCCTTCAGCAGAAGGTCGAGACCGCGGCTACTTGTCTATCGATGGTTTCACACACTACCTCCTGTCGTCCGAGTGCCACATTTTCGATCCACAGCACAAGCGTGTTTGTCAGGACATGACACAGCCCCTGTCTCACTACTACATCAACTCATCGCACAACGCTTCCCTGCTGGAGGACCACTACTGGGGCTCCTCAGACATCAGCAGCTACGTCCGTGCCCTGCGCATGGGCTGCCGTAGCCTGGAGGTAGTTGTGTGGGATGGCCCCGACTGTGAGCCTGTGGTCTATGTTGGCAGCTCAGTGGCATCCCAGCTGGCCTTTTCCAAAGTCCTCGACGTCATAAACCAGTATGCCTTTGAGAGCTCTGAGTATCCTCTGATCCTGTGCCTGGTGACGCACTGCAGTGTCCCACAACAAAGGGTCATGGCCCAGCATATGAAGAAAATCTTGGGGGACAAACTCCACACAGAACCTCCGAGTCTGGATGAACACTACCTGCCCTCACCTGAGAAGCTGAAAGGTAAGGTCCTTCTGAAAGGGAAGCGCCTCCCACCTGACACCCAGGATTCTGAGGGAGAGGTGACTGACGAGGAGGAGGGGCTTGAGATGTCACGGCGTATGGTCGGCGCGGATGAGAAGGACCAGCTCAACGGCATTGGCTGTAAGAGGCTGCGACTTTGCAAGGAACTGTCCGACCTTGTTACCCTTTGCAAATCTGTTCAGTTTCGAGACTTTGAGTCATCCAAGAGGGAACAGAAGTACTGGGAAATATGTTCTTTCAACGAGGTGGATGCTAACCGCTTTGCTAATGAGTTCCCTGAGGACTTTGTCTGCTATAACAAGCGATTTCTGTCACGGGTATTCCCAACACCCATGCGCATTGATGCCAGCAATATGAACCCACAAGACTTTTGGAAATGCGGTTGTCAAATCGTGGCCATGAATTACCAGACCCCCGGCTTGATGATGGACCTTAATCTGGGCTGGTTCAGGCAAAATGGCAACTGCGGATATGTTCTCCGCCCTGCTATAATGCGTGAGGAGGTCTCATACTTCAGTGCCAACGCTCGTGACTCATTACCTGGAGTGTCAGCCCAGCTCCTCCACATCAAGGTGATCAGTGGCCAAAACCTGCCAAAACCTCGAGGCTCAGCAGCAAAAGGTGATGTGGTTGAGCCATACATCTATGTGGAGATTCATGGGATCCCTGCAGATTGTGCTGAGCAGCGCACAAAGACTGTATCGCAAAACGGTGACAATCCCATCTTTGATGAGAGCTTTGAGTTCCAGATCAATCTCCCTGAACTGGCAGTTTTGCGTTTCGTAGTCCTTGATGATGACTACATTGGTGATGAATTCATTGGCCAGTACACAATTCCCTTTGAGTGCCTGCAGCCAGGTTACCGGCATGTACCATTGCAGTCACTTACAGGAGAGTTCTTGCCCAACACCACGCTATTTGTTCACGTGGCCATTACGAATAGGCGTGGTGGTGGCAAAGCTCACAAGAGGGGTCTTTCTGTGAGGAAAGGCCGCAAGGCTAGGGAGTACACTTCGACCAAGACCACTGGGATCAAAGTAGTGGATGAACTCTTCAGGGCTTCCACACAGCCACTAAGAGAGGCAACGGATTTGCGGGAAAATGTGCAGGTAAGACCAATGTAGAAAAGAAGACAATGCATGATAATGGAAATAGGATTCCAAAAAGCACAAAGTAATTTGAGTTATTTAATTACTGCAACTAAATATTATTTTTCTCCTTAAACTAGACCATAGGTTCCCAACTCTGGACTTGTGTTTTTCTGCTCTAACACCCCTCCTTTCAACTCAGGAAGTGGTTAAGTAGCTGTTAAGTTGAATCAGATGTGTTGGAAGCAGGGAAAACCCAGGACAGGGGACATTCTGGGACCAATGTAGATGAAAAGAAAAGAAATATGGCTACAGTCATTATAGAATACTATGGCATTCTGTAACAAGTACAAGAACATCTAATAGGAAAAGTGTCCTTATAAATTTATAAGCATACTCTCTTTAATGTCAACCTGAAATCGAAAAGGACCTTTTTTACCTTGTTAGCTCATGTCCCTAGCCATATTAAGCACAATTCTTCATGCCACACTACTGCATTGACAACATTATTGCTTCACCATAATCTTTGTTTGAAGTGTAAAGACTGCTGCCTACTTTGAAAATGTTTCTATTGCATCACTGTGCACCAGCGGACACGGAAAATAATATTAACCAATAATATCAGGTTTTACCTGATATGAAACAACCTCCACTCAAAAAATGTCACTGTACAGTAGGGCTGCAACAATTAGTCGGCATTATCGTGAACGTCGATTATAAAAATTTGTCGACTTAGAATTTCATTGTCGATGCGTCGTTAAGTTGCAACGCACTATGGGAAGTGCTGGGGGCAGCATCGCTTCCATTGGCACGACTGCATTCTGTACTAATGAAGAACATATTGAATGATGGTGTGGCGGAGAGACTGTGAGGAAGGCGAGGCAAAAAATCAAGGCCAAAACTTTCAGATGGGAGCTTTCAGACTTTCAAAACAAGTCGAATTTCACGGCAGCACTATGGTGATGCATAGGCATCTGAAACGCAAGCACCTTGAATCCTTGATGTCTAATTCACACATACTGCGTCTGTGCAGCGTCTTGCTTTTCATTTCGTTGCCCAAGTGATCAGGGCTTTCACACAGGATGCGCGTACGAAGCGGCAGAGTCCCAGACACCGCACTGAAGAGCAGAAGTGTTTAGAGAATAGACTGGGTGCTGATTTTTTCCATGCTCTGTGCGTGTCATGCAGCAAAATACACTAAATAAACCATGAAAATTAAACAGAAAACCGTATACACAAAAATTTAATTCATGATGAAATAATAGTTAAACATTCTGTGCTGCAGACATTTCCTGGTTACTTTACCTGTTGGACAACAAGGTCTCATGGATTGTGTTTGCTAAGAGACTGCTATTTCAGTTATGTTAGCTAATGTGTGGGAACATCACCTCAAAGAAGAGAGCCAGCCTCGCTCCAGAGCACCTGCAACTTAACAGTCCCCTATGCTGGGTCTAAGGCTGCTATTTTCAGTTACATTTTTACAGATTATCTTCGTTTGAAAGCCTTCTTGCACCTTAATTTGTATTATGAAATTTGTTTGTTTCACTTTTATTATGATTACACGTATTAATGTTACGAATACATTTAATGAAGTGGACAAGCAGAGATGGAGGGCATAACAAAAAATAATCGTTGACTAATCGACTAATCGAAAAAATAATTAACAGCTTAGTCGACAAAATAATCATTAGTTGCAGCCCTACTGTACGGAAGGAAAACTTGTGATTTCCAGTTTGCGGTCACGTGTTATAAAACTTGCACTTGTTATGAATCTAGCAATTATTTATAAGCACACATTGTGCACTTTAAACTAACAATGTACTTCAAGTTTCAAGTTTATTTGTCATTTGCACAACATGTTAGGGCATTCACATTCAAAGGAAAATACTAAAACTGAAATATATTAAATATACACAAAATATAGAGACAGGAGAAACCTATGTAAGAAAAAACTCTCTGCTATGTACAAATATTTTTATATTTAACAAGGGATAATTTGTGAAGAGTCTATGTACATTTGAATACTTGAATACTTGAGTATTCATTTTATTTTCCTGTGGAATGTTCAAGCACTGAAAATAACCATAACACACATGCCTATGACCTGTGAGTTGTTCAACAGGCCTGTATTGTGAATTATTATGGTACCTCTAAATGTGTGTTTTCAGTGGGCTCTTTGAATGCTGGTAACATCAAAACTCAGCAATTACTTTAAGTACCGTCCTCTCCGCTAATAAAATCAGAAATAGTCCAAGGCTGACCAAGGAGCAGTTTTCGTCATTCATGATTGGGACTTTAACACGAGCTTGAGTGAGGCAAGAGCACTTTTTATGTGTCTGATATAACAGGCACCTCAAAAGGCATTATGCAAACAGGGTATACAAGAGGATAGACCCTCAATTAGAGAGAGTGTGTGTGTGTGTGTGTGTGAGTGAGAGAGAGAGAGATAGAGTGAGAAATGTAGAGGGCGGGGGGAGGGAGGTAGTTTTTTGTAGTGAAGCTCATTAGTGGTTTGGGTGATGCCCTGGAAGCCAAGGGAATTAAAAGATTTCATTGTGATTCTCTCTGCACTAATGTGGTGTTTTCCTCTTTAAAGGAAATGCTTTGTTGGCCTAATTACTTAATATTTACATCTCACGAAAGATTAATAAAAGGCGACAGTTCAGGTTAAAACTTGATTAGACATGGCATAGCTAGAGTGCAGCATGCAGTCATAATGCTAACATGTTTTGCAAGAGTTTGTTATTTTGTCTGTTAAGTTCAGTTATATTTCTGCATTATTGATCATAGAACATAAAGTTTAAAGTCATGCTTGAACATGTATAACTCTGATTCAGCAATGCTGTTTCTCAATTTATTGGCAGCATGCAGCAAATCTGGTTGGAGAGTTCCTAAACTAAAGTATTGCTGCGACTAATTTAAGAGCACTCAAACCTCAAGGGATTCCCTGGTAGCTAATTAGAAGGAAAAAACATATGTCCTCACTGAGCTTTCCCTCCACTCACTCCCTGTTATTTTTTTTTTTTTTCTTTGTTTCTTTGTTCTTTCATTTCTCTAACCTCTGCGGCAAATCTGAACATCGCTTAGTGTTTTCTTGGACAGTCACTGGGATGTGATGAACTTTTTGAAAAGCTTTTTATTGAGTTCTGTATAGTTAAAGATTTATTCCCTCCCTTTGGCCTGCTAATTTAGCCTGACGTAGCCAGGCCTTCTTCTTCATTATAACAGAACTGACTCCAATATAGACAAAAATGCTGCATGCTTGGGACTTTATGGATCAGTCAGGTCATTGTTAGCCTGAGGACAATGCTGATGCTGTGCAAGCAGTGACACCAGTGGCTGACGAATGAAGTAGGCAGTGGAAAGGGCCTCAGAACTTTCAAGGCAAAAACAGAGAAATGGCAGAGAAGCGAGTGAATCAGTCAGTGAACCAAAAATAAAATATGGGTGGCTGATATGAACTCGGATATACTGTCGGATATACCTAAAAAAATACTTCAAGTGGTTACGAGCAATTGAGCTAGTTTTATTCAACATAAAAAAAAGATGAAATCAAACCTGTTCTGATTTATTTGACGATGTTGCGTTTTGGCCAAGCTAACTTTTTTTTTTACTTTCTCACTATTTCACACTTTACAGCTGGTCTAAAATATATTCATAAATGCTCATTGTAAATAATGGAAATTGTCTAATTCGTTCCTCTGACTGAATTACCTTTCAGGCCCCTAACGTTTTCACCAACTAGGGAAATCTGCTTCAAGCTACAGTACAGTTTATATTGTTGCAGGGGCTACTTGTGGTTTAGCACAATGGCTGATCATGGTATGCACAATATTGTAAAATCCATGACATGAGACAAGATCACACCAGTATGTACTTTAATACCAGTATACCTTCCACAATTGGTGTTAAGAGTATATTCTGTCAGTTTCTGTTATGAGTCCAGCAATCAACTTTAAATAGAAGATATGTTTGTTTTTATTTAATGAACTAAGGTTATTTCTTTATCACCCTATTTTTCTTTTACTATGTGCATTCAGCTATAGTGCTGCTTCAGGAGCAGTTCTCTATAGCTGCTACAGAATTACCATGAGTGATGCCATGGTGCCTCTAAAGGAGGCACTTCACCCACAACATGCTGTAAATAATGAGTTTAGCTTAGTTTAACGTCTATTTCATTTCTTTTCTTTATCTGTAGCAGGGGGTACATTCTAGTCATAAACTAGAGTCATAAACTACCACAGTTTCTCTGTTCCACTGTTACGGAATATTATATGTTGTTGCTGAACTAGATTAAGTGACTTTGAATAAATTGGTCACAGGCCATGTGTCGTCTTTATTGGACTATTGAGTTTTCATTATGAGAAAGTGATAAGACTGGCTTTACACAGTGAAACTTCCATGCAGCGTTAGTTGCTTTAAACCTGCGTGAAAGTAAATTAAACTTGAGTTACATAATGTAAAGCGTCCTGTAACTGACTTGAAACTCAACTGCAGCATTTGCAAGCCTCTTAACTTTACGAACAAGTTTCATGAAACAGCCAATCAAAATACACATACACATCACATGATCAACTTTATATAGTGAGAATGATGTGGAAACATGTTAGTTGCTGCTTTGACTAACTAGTGGAGTAATTACATGGTGCATGCAACTTTGATTGTTTTCTGATTGCTTGGTGTAGCTGTGAAGTTGCACGGAAATTGTGTTGTATGCAGCTCAGAACACGTTTTACAGTGTAAAGTCAGCAATAAACAGGGCATGCATGCATGCATCAGATATCACATAAACATCTCCTAGGCATATGAGACATTTATAATATATTGATGGAGATTGGATTTGCTCATGCATGATAAGGAAGAGATAAGGATGTTACAGAGATCTGTTTTGTTGACAGATTTCAGCTTTGACATTACTTCAGTGAATTTCCTGAGTGGAGCTGAACAGTATATCATATCACTATCATTATATTGGCCTTTACAGTCCTAATACCACAAAAGGCTACAGTATGCAAATGATT